CGTTATGTTGGACAAGATTTTGGAAATGGGTAATTTGGCAGTTTTGCTAGAAAGAATCTTAAAGGTGCAGGGTACCTTCATCTTTTGACCTGTCTGTGAGCTCAAGGGAGGAGATGAAGTGGGAATGGGAACAGAGGGTATGGGTGGAGTAGCACAGAATGAAAAACAGATTCTCCCTTTACTCCATTCTGTTAGTTGCCTCTAAGCTGCCATTTGCAGTGGTAATAAATAGGTGTCAAAAGTTCATATAGTCATGGTTACATTATGTATATACTACCAACATAAAATAAATTATTCCAATAGACAGGACTCCAATAATTGGAAATGGAATCCTTCTCAACTCTTCTCTGATTACATGAGAAAATAGGACAAAATCAGTTGAAATTTCTAGACACGGATAAATCCACTCTTTGCTTTCTCTGCAAACCTTCCCTGAACAGGGTTAACTAATGTTTCTTTTCAGCATTCTATTACCCTCCACCTGTACTGTCTAATGAAGAAATATTGGTGGGGATTGAAACTTTGCAAAGTGAAAGGAAATAAATCATGTATGTTAACCATAACCTAACGTTGAGTTCAATGTTTTTCTTAGAAAGAGCTACGTCTCAAAAAAATCTAGTCCCAAGGTAGTTAATTACTAAAGTCTTATTAAAATTAATTATAAATATTTACTACTTTTTTTTCTATAACAGCCACTGTTGAGATCTGAATGCCCAGTCAATTTAATGTCATTAATTTAGAATATCAACATTCTTGAATAAAGAATCCCTAAAGGAGGTTTGCTATTATTGCATGTGGCACCTTTCCTCATACAAATTAGAAAACATTTTAGAAGTTAATATTTTATTCTACAACTGGATTGGGGACTTCCAAAGATAAACTTTAGTTTCTTACAGACATTGAAAAAAGGAAAAATGGGGAGAATCATCATTCAATCAAGGCAAAACTGCTATTTAGAAAAAAAAAAAAGATAGGATAAAATACTAAAATCAGCTATTAGCCACTAGAAAACACATGATGAGCCCAAGAGTTAAATGATATAAAACTGCAATGAGTCCCAATTAAAAAGAAAAAAGAACAAAAGCATGAAGTGAAATGGCATTGGATAAAATGAAAACAAAGGACTCTTCACCAGAAGAACAAACTGAAAGTCTACAACAAGGTTGCCCAAACGTTGCCAATTTTAGTGAATTTTGCAGGATATATAATTGTAAAATGTTCACAGGAATAATGCCCCACTATTAATATTCATGTTTATTATATTTACTAGGTTAGTACAGACTTGTAGCTTTGTTTCAAAAACTCAAATGCTAATTTATTCACAATCCGATCACTAGTCAAGTGACAAGTGTCAAATCTGAAAGGGATACAGTTTGCATATGTAAACTTTCTTTTTTTGAAGCAAGCATTTTATTTCTTTTTGAATATTTCATAGAGTGATTCATTAATATAAATTGTAATTAGCTAATGCCATACGCATAAGATCCTTTTGAGTAAATATCACTAAATCACAAAATAATTTTAGATGAATCATGCCCAAACAAACAACGGAAATGCATATGCAGCACAGAGAAACACATCACGATGGAAGGAGGAAGCTGTTAAAGCAAAACAAGTCTGTACCACAGGGAGCTGCTATCACTGTGGCACTGGATTCAAGTGATATCCAATTAACAAAGGTGAAGCAGAATTTTTTTTATTTTTGGCAATACACTTGCAACATGTTTAGTCTGCCTGTGAGTTGTATGCCAGATTATTCTCCTGCACAGTTTGCTCTTCTGCCTCAGTGTGAATGACAGAAGCTCTAATGATTTTTCAGTACTGATCTGACAGCTGGTTCATGGGACCACACTGATAAATGGAATTTATCAGCCATTCAGGTCATTCTTACTTGATGAAGGGTCTGTTATCCTCATAGCTAAAGAATGCATAGACATAAAGACAAGAACACCAACATTAGCATTTTATGACAAAGAATTTCATATGAAAAATATTCTCCTGGTCCCCAAAGATCTCTGGCTCCCACCTCCCTAAAAGGTATCATAACCTTCCCTTTAGATCCAAAAGGTAATTCCTAAAATTACCATGAGAACTTAAATAACAAGGAATAAAATCAATAGTACAATACTGCAATATCCCTTATGAGACTCAAAAATTCCATTTTTTCATCATGTGTTCATATTACTTGTGACTTGACAGAGACATTTATTTCTTAGAGATCACATTTCTCTAGAGAATGAGAAATTTTATGAGCAATCTGGAGAAGGCTTGGGGGCATGCTTAAAATGACAGATTTCATGTCTAAAGGTATCCTTAATCTGTAATATTAGTAGGTAAGATTATTTAATTATGGACAGGACGCATCTAAGTAATTTTAACTTGCAGACGATTGACCTGAGTGAAATCTCAACATTAGAGCCCTTTGAAAATAATCAATCTTGACTACATTAAAATTCTTCCTATTAGTGACAGGAGGATAAAAAAAATAATAATAATGAAGGAATAATCTTTTGGAGCAAAATATAGCACCTGCTCATTGTCACTTATATTTACTAATTTTTTTAGTATCATTCTGATAAAAGATCCTAGTGTCAAATTGGTAAAGCTGAATTAGTGGACATGTGGGAACATCTTTTTACAAATAAAGTTTCTGATCAAAGAATTATTACAGGACAAAAAGATAAAGAGCTCTTTTCTCCCTTCTCTCTTAGCAGAGGCAGTAGAGTTTCCAATATTATGCACACAGAGATAAATAAAGCTGAGATCCCTTCTGAATAAAGAAAACCACAGATGAAGACTCTCTCTCTCTAGAACACTAAGAGAAAAAAGGATGGAGTGAGAGCCCGGTAGCTAAAGTCAGTTCACCTGGAGTTTACCTCCTAGCCCAACCACCGAGGAGCTTTTTGATCTTAGGCCAAAATGAACTCTGTGACTGTGTCAGTTTATACCTCTATAAAATGCTGATCATTATAATGTGAGTTTCTTGTGTTAGAATGTAAGTTTCTCGTGATAATGACATGATTGCGTAGACGTGCTGACAGTGCCTAATACACAATGTGCTCAATACATATTACATACTCTTATTATTACCTGACTATCTGAAGCTGAAGTCACGTGGGACATATAAAATCCCTTACTCAAAGAATAAAACACCAAATGTTCAGTAGTTAAATTCATCTGTGGGTGTTACAGGTGTAATATGGCTTAAGTATGTTGGTCAATGGAGCAGGGAGTGACTAGAACTGAGCATCCAATATGGTGATTACTAGCCACTATCTACATTTAAATTCAGTAAAATGAAATGAAGCTGAAAATTCAGTTTCTTAGTCATATCAGTCATGTTACAAGTACTCAGAAGCTTCACACAGCAGTAACTACTATATTGGACAGTGCAGTTCGAGAACATTTCTGTCATCACAGAAAGTTCTGTTGGAAGGTGTCGGACTAAGACAGACGGGGTTTTAAGCTAAGAAATGGTATTCTAAGAGATACTTAACGAATGCCATGGGTGTGTGAATGATAAAGATAAAAAGGATTTCTAAGAATTGATAATAGTTTTAAAACTTGTCTAGAAAGAAAACCCAGTTCTATGTTAATGTTTAAAAGTTACAAAACATAATGAGACTCTTACCCTATTGTACACATTCCCCCTGCATCTTTATATTCCATCTGTGACACCAAGTTCATGATTAAAGTAACTCTCCCTACCATAAGTTGGATAGTACAACGTCAAATAAAGAAAGTTACACAGGTTAGCATATAGGAATATATGCAAAAATGCTTCACAAAATTGTATTGTTATTTTGTTGTTGTTGTTATTTGTTTTGCCATAGAGTATGTGAACTAGCTGGAGAGAGACAGAGAAAGACAGCAAAAGTGAAAGGGAAAATGAGAAATCACCCTCCAAGGGGAATGGGATAGTCACACTGTAATCCCTTTTTGATTTTCCCCTCATGATGTTGGGCATGCATGCACGTGTGCACAGCGTGATCTTTCAAAGGCCAGGTCCAGGACTCGAACTGCAGCTGGCCATATGGGAATTCAGTACCTTAACTACTATGCCAGCTGCTGCCCCCTATACTAATGCTATTTTTTTTTTAAGAGGTTTTTGCTATAGGGCGCGTGCGCTCGCCAGAGAGATAGAAAGCAAGAAATCACCCCCCAGGGGGATGGCCATGCTGCAATCCCTTCTCCTCCATTCTCCTCTTGGGATCTTGGGAACGCATGCACATGCGCCCGGCGTGAGTTTAAGCCACCAGGTCCAGGACTCAAACCGTGGTCGACTACGTGGGAGTCCAGTGACATAGCCATTACACTAACTGCTGGTCCCTATACTAATGC